ATGCCACTGAGCATCATTTTCCGATTTGCAGAATGAGAGAGGTTGGAGACTTTTTAATGCTCCTACCTAGAATTCTCACCTAAATGGGAAACTGCAAAGTTTGTCAAGTTTGCTTTTAGAGCTTACACTTCCTTCCCCATTTGATCAAATCTTTTGTCTCCTACTGCTGCGCTGCTGATGGGCAGTAAATCCAAATATGCTTTCTCTCTTGCTCTTATAAAACCTAACGCGGAATTAACGCGGTGGGGAGCCCTATGGCTCACTGGCTCCACAAGGCACTGCCATGATTTCAGATAACAGCCACGTCGGCAAGTAATGGTTTGAGGCTGCACGTGGCGATTGGAATGGCCTGTATTTAGCATATATAATAGTACCTTATTGCGTGAAATTTGAAATCTGAATTGTGACTTCTGTTGAGCCAGAGTTCGTTTTCATTTTAGACCTAGCAGAAATCCCATCTGGACTAGTAACACGAAGGTTATGTTTTTCAAGTGTTCTTGTAGACGGAAAAAAAGAACCAACTGTAAAATTAATAATTAATACGGTTTATTTCCAAGCCAACTGTGTGACCTAGGCTGGAGAAGAGGCACACATGCCTTTTCTCGGGGTGATCATGTACAGAAGTTACTTTTATTGGCTTTTGAGATTGACAGACAACATTTCGTGAAGAGATTTTCCCATTGGTCTGGCCCCAAAAGGCGGGACATGTAGAAGCGGGGCTTGTAGGTTATAGGTGGGTTCCACAATTTCTAGGCTGGTGATTGGAAAGGAAGATCTGTGTCTTGGGAAGAGATTAGTTAAAGAAAGGCTTAATCTACATCTCAAGGAAAAGGGAAGTTCTGTGTCTTGGGAAGGGATAAGTGAAAGAATATACTGTAATTGGTTGAAATATACATCTCAAAGATACTATGCCAGGAACAGGAGGTAGGAAGAATCCTGTTAATAGAAAATAAATGGTCTGTTAATGTTTGTGGGCATGACTTCCCCAGCCCCCTTTTGAAAAGATTTTGGAAAATAGGAAAAGTAGTCAGACTTCTGTCCACATTCTGAACTGGGAACTGTTTTTACTGGATATCTAAAGATTCTCAGATACTGTGTTGCATCCTCAAACCCTCACTGTATTTTACCAAATTTAGCTATAATAATTAGCAGGCCTTTGTAATAGAGTAGTAATGTTTTATTTCTTGTCTTCCTCTTCCCCTTTTAATTCAGGGTTATACTGGAGAATATGGCATATGGATCTTATTCAGTCTGCTGTTCTGTATAGTGTGATGACCCTAGTAAGCACTTATTTGGTAGCCTTTGCATACAAGAATGTAAAATTTGTTCTCAAGCACAAGTAAGTACATTTTGCAAGTGAAAGTATATATTATATGTCGCAGTTTTGTATATAGTAAGATAGCTTAAAGATCATTTGTGTGTATGTTGGTTTCAATAAACATTAATTTGAGATCTGTATGTTTATGTATTTTGGGGAGAAGGCACACTGATGATAGAAATGACTGTTAACCAAAGCAGAGGCAGTGATCAAGCTGACACTGCCGTGAAAGTGGAATTTGAGGGTGGAGTTAGGACACACACAAGCCTTGGGGCCGGCAGGTAGTGTAGTGGTTAGGGGTGCTGGACCCCCACATGGCCAACCATGGTTTGAGTCCTGGACCTGGTGGCTTGCTTTCTCACTTTCCCTCTCTTTTTCTCTTTCTCTTTCTCTCACTCTGTTCCTCTCTGGTTCAATTAAAATAAATAAATAAATAAATAAAGTTAAAATCTTTAAAACAACACAGAACACTAGCCTTAATCATGGGGTTCATCAGAAAAACAAATCCATCAAGTAGATAAATATTTTAGAAACAAAGTAGTAGTTGTTTCTGGAAAGAATGGTTCTGGGCTGACTTTCATTTTTGGAAGTGAAAGAAATGATCTTTTAGTTAGACTCTGGCATTTTCAATGCTAATGATATTTTTTCTTGCAAGTGTATGAAACGTGTATGAAAAGTATATGAATGTCTTCTATTTTAAGATCATATATACTTTATAAAGTATATAATTATTTTCACAGTAGTTTTTGGAGACACAAACCCAAGCCTCACCACAGTAAATTTATGTATTAACTATAAGTGATGATGTGCTCTAGTTTCCTAAAAGTTGACGGGGGAGGAGCTCTAGACTTAGGAAATATGGTAACAGTTATTAGTTCTGAGTGCCATGGTCTTCATGGGAAGCAGGTGTAAATAAGTGTTTAATTGGAAAGGGCACCTTTATCATTGCTTTCATGTATACTTTGATACTTAGAGATGGCAGGATATTTCTCTGTTTCTTTAATAGAACCTTCTAGGTGCTCTATTCTTTTGGAAGTAATTTCTTAAGGAGGATTGGAATTTCCCTGAGACAGAGTGCTAGCCTGCTTTGAATGTACATTATCTTCATTTCCGTATTTCCCACCAGACACTGTTTCTGCTTAGATTAGTATAGCAGTCTTCCTCTGGTTTCTCTTTCTCGCTTTTAAAGTCCATACATTTATTTTTTTCCAGGAGTGAGTGAGAGAGTGAGACAGACATTATCCCACCTCAGCCAACCCTGATCAGGGGCACACATGTGCCCACCATACTCAGGGAGTTCTCTGGACGAGATCTTGAAACCTTCCCATGTGGGTCACCCTTGCATAGTTTTGCATTTTACTGCTGTATCACTGTCTAACCTCTCCATCTGATCTCTTAAAATAAAAGTTTAGGGCCCCGCCTGCTGTAGAAAGCACATCACTTACGTAATCCTAAAGTAATCTATGTGAAGTGCAGTTATTATTCCTTTGGATGGAAGAATATGAATTCCTCCTTGTCTAGCATCATTTTTATCATGTCACTCTATTTGAATAACTCATTATGTCCTTTTTTTTTTTCCTGATATATTAAAACCAAATACTTCCAGGCTTCTAGAATACCAGTCATCTGCCCTCTTCCAGCGAATCTGTCCTCTTGTTTAAGAACTGGGCCTAGTTCTTTCAACTCAGCCTTCTTGTCATCCTTTGACTGTGACTTGTGTCCTCCCCACTTAGGATTATCTCCTTTGCGGTTTTATTTTGAGACCTGGGACTCTCTCTCAGACAGTTCTAAGTTTGATCATTCCTTTGTGCTATTGTCTGAGTGTTAAGCTGGTTCTAGTGTGAGGAATAGAAACATGTCGAGATAAGCTCAGTTAATAGGGGTTTATTAGAAGAAATGGCCGCAGTGGCCTCAGTTTTCTCCCATCGTTCTATACACAGAAGGGCCCAGGTGTTGTGGCGCATTTCTGATACTCCCTCAGAGTTGGGTCATAGTCATCTTTTTGCTTGGCAGCCCTTCTCTACCAACTGCCATTGCAGCATTCAGCCAGCCTTGGCCCCTGATGTTCTGGGCTGTGGTTCTTGAGAGACATGACTGTCTGTGGATGGAGAAGCCCTCCAAGTGGGCATGATGCCTGAGCTTTATTTTATGACCCCCTTTGCGCTCAGTCCCTTTGAGACTTGATGTTTTTCACTTGTTCTGAATATCATTTTTCAGTCACCTCTTTGAAATCTGATTCATGCTCTTTTTATCTTCTTGTTTCTACTTTAGACTTCTTGAAGGCAACTAGTAGGTTTCGGGGAAAGTCATGATGTACTTTTCTGTGCAAAAATACATCATGACCTTCCTACAACCTAATACTATATCTTTTGTTTTATGTCCCTTCCAACAGTTACTAGTACATTTAATGCAGTCAAATTTTAATGACTTACTGACTGTAGACTCAGAGTGAGATTTTTTAAGTCATAGTTTTAGCTTAATATAAATCTTGCTCCTGACAGTAAAAGTTTTACCGATTTGCAAGATTGTAAAGGCTCAAAGATCTAGCCAAATGCGGAGTGGGGAGATGTTTGGTAGTAGGGAGATGATGGCTTCAAGGTTGACAGATTCTAGTCCCAGCTCTGGTCTTTTTTTTTTTAGGTTTTTGTGATAGAGCATGTATGCTCGCTGGAAGGAGAGACAGAGAAAGGGAAAGTGAGAAATCACCCCCTCTAGGGGAGGATGGCCCTGCAATTTCTTCTTCTCTATTATCTAGAGATTTTGGACATGCACACAGAGGCGCCTGACATGATTTTCAAGCCGCCAGGTCTGGGACTCAAACCATGGTCAACCATGTGGGAGTCCAGTGTCTTAACCACCAACCACGTGCTGTCCCTTTGTCCTTTTAAATACGTGGCCTTGAGCATTCATTTCACCTGTGTAGCTGTCAGATTACTGAGCTGTAAAGTGGGGAGAGTGATAGTACCTCAAAGGGTGGTAAGATTAAATATGATCTTACATGTGACACATTAAACATAGTGTCTGGCATGTAATCCATGTGTTCAGGGTTGGGGAGGTTGGGAGTAAAAACCCTTATGAAGATTTTTGTAATGATGGCATGATTTAAACAATGTTTGCAAAGGTGTTTTTATTTTAAGGAATTAACTTATTTTTCTTTTTAATTCTGGCGATTCTAACATACTGATATGAAAAAATAGAAGAAAAAGATTGCAGTTGATTTCATGAGTTATCTGATTTGGCTGAATGTTAGACCCCTGGAGTGACCCTTGCCTTGTTTTTGAGCTTTTAGCACTAAACATAGTTGATTTTCTACGAGCCTTAAGACAGAGGAGAGGGCTTCCTCTTCTTCAGCTACAGTAAACTTTCAGTGTGGTGTTAATGCCTCTTGAGGTGAGTCTAAGATTCTAGACTGAGAAGAGAAATTATTTAGTTACCTGGTTTAATGTCTTCAGGAAGATTTGTCAGGTGACCAGTTGGTTGACAGTTTGTCTTAAAGATGCTTAAAGATAACCAACTGTTTCAGAGAGTATTTCTGTTTCCCAGCATCTCAAAGGGTGTGTGTGCATCTGTGCGTATTTGTGTCTGTTTTATATTCAGCCAAGAAAGATTTCTTCTGTAAACTGTCCTTTTCAGTTGATCTTTGTACGAAGAAGTGATCTGATTTTAAACACTTACTTCGTGCCTAGTCGAGTACAGAGTTTGAGAGAAGTTTGCTTTCAGAGACTAGTGTCCCAGGAATGAAAAAAGCATCTGAAAAGATAGTTTTTATATACTAAAATAAGTTGGGGGACATTGGATCTTTTTTTTTTTTTTGGAGAGATTTTCACTGTAGGGCACGTGCGCTCGCCAGACAGACAGAGAGAGACATAGAGACAGAAAGCGAGAAATCACCCCCCAGGGGGGATGGTCACGCCGCAGTCCCTTCTCCTCCATTGTCCTCTCGGGATCTTGGGCACGCACGCACACGCACCCGGCGTGAGTTTTAAGCCACCGGGTCCGGGACACGAACCGCGGTCGACTACGTGGGAGTCCAGCAACATAGCCATTATGCTAACTGCTGGTTCCCGGGGACATTGGATCTTTAACGTAAGAAATTCATTGTAGTGTCCTAAAGTGTCCTCCAAAGAAACTGTCCCCTTAACTCCCTTTTTGTTTCCTTTCCCTTTTTTTAGAGATTTTTGCTATAGGGCACACGGGGCACATTACATGCGTGCCCAAAAGCCCAAGAGGAGAATAGAGGAGAAGGGATTGTGTTGTGGACATCCCCCCCACTGAGGAGTGATTTCTCAGTTTCTCTCTCTGGCAAGTGCATATCCCTATGGCAAAAACCTAAAAACAAACAAAAATATAGTTAAAATAATTTATAACTAAATTATGCTAATAGCATTGGAGTTTCATATCATGTCAAATACCTGAACTTTGAAAAATTCTTTTAAACAGAAACCAAAACATATAACTAATAAACTATATCTTGGAAGTTCCTTGAACTTCTCTTTTGGCTAGTGCAGTATAATATATTTGGAACTTTTTGTCCATCTTATTTCTTAAAATATAAAGTATCGTTCAGTTGCCAATACAAAATAGGAGTACAGAGTGTTTCTCAGAGAGTATGATGTTCACCCTGAAGCATGTAGAAACTTTTTTTTTCTTTTCTTCCAGGGTAGCACAGAAGAGGGAGGATGCTGTTTCCAAAGAAGTCACCCGAAAACTTTCTGAAGCTGATAATAGAAAGATGTCTCGGAAAGAGAAAGATGAAAGGTTTGACTCCTTAATTAAAGTGCGGTAATCAGAAAGGGAGTACTTCAGAGAAAATAAGTTCTTATTTCTGCTTAGAGAATATAGATATTGGAATTGTCCAATGTAAATTTTGGAATCATGGAAGCAGAAGTAGTGGAAATAGCTATAATTACCTTTTTCAGTTTTTATTACTATTTACAGTTATTACTATTTAGTCATTATTATTTTTTTGTTCTGCTTTATTCTCCAAAGAGCCTATGAAGTAAATGGCTGTTATATTCATTTTACATCTGAGGAAAGTAAGGTTCAAAAAGCGTGGGTAACTTGTCCAGAGTGGTAGACTTGTGTATGGTGAATCCAGGGTTAAGAACACAGGCAGTCTGACTTGAGCTTATATCTGTAACTGCTCTGCTGGAATGTAGGTGGCTGCAGTCCTGTGTTTAGTGCTAGCTTTTGCTGCTGATAGCTGTGTGACCATGAACGTGTCACCTCACCTCACTTCACCTCGCCTCACCTCACCTCACCTCACCTCACCTCACCTCACCTCACCTCACCTCACGAGAGGTCTGAAGGGTTTACATTGTGTTATGCGTTAACATTTCTAGGTGGTGCTACTTTTGTTTGTTCCCAAGTTTCCCACAGGACATTTAATTCTTGGTTACCTTCCTTGGTTAGGAAAATGTCTTCTGTCATCCATTTTGTTAGTCCCCAAGCCCAATTTTTTCTGCCAGCTGCTCCTAGGAGGCTTAGTGAAGTCTTACTCTCTATCTAAGCAGCAAAAGCTCCTGAGTGATTGAGTAAACTTGTGCTTCAGAGTTGCCAGATGGCCTAATTGTCATGAGTCTAGTTGTTTTAATGGACCTTAAGATTTGGTTATCAGCAAGGGGCTGTGTGGAACAGAATTTTTATTCCACTTTGCTTCAGAAAGACTGGGAATGTGCAATAATAAAGTGCATATAAAACAAAGTAATGCAATTTTAAAAGAACAGAAACCATTTATAAGGAAGAAAAGGTCGATGAACAAGGACCTTAGAGTTCGTTACAGCAGTTGCACACCATACTGAATTCTGAGCTTACAAGTGTCAGGGGAGGCATCTGAGGTCATCCAACTTTCTGAAAAGAAAGAAACTTTCCTGGCATTGAATCTTGGAAGGACTTAATCAAGTGGATCCTTACTGAAGAGACACTGAATAACTTAATGAACAGTATTTTCTCCAATGGTTTTGGAAAGGTTCCAGAACATTATTGAAATGACTAAATCCTATGGGTCCTTTATAAAACTGAAGGCACAGTGTTAAAATTGTGACAGTGAAGGCCTTTTGCGGGAAGTGGTTTTAATGAGGTCTGGCTTTATGGCTTTTGGATTGCATATTTTTTAGTAGGGAATAGAGTTTGAATAATCTAGAATGTTCAATCTCTCTTTTTAAAAAATCTTTTAATGAATTATCATTTTTGGTGGAACAGCATTTCTTAACCTGAGGTGTTCATCGTAGCTACCCAAATTTCAAAATGCTTGTTACAACACTTAAAGGTATGTGATTATATCAGGAATGGCAGATAGGTCTCCTCTGCCACTGCAGACTTGCCTGGTTTGGCCTGGCACTTGTTCTTGATCCTGGGACATGTTTGAGAATCCCTCTCAGTATGGTGGTCAGGTGGTCACTACTAGGGAATCAGAGTTGGAATTGGGAAGGAAACTTCTTTATCATTTGCTGAATTAGGGATTTCAAGTAGGGTGAGGTGGAGATTTCATGGACATATAAAAGGCATAGTGTCAGAAGATAATAAAATTTCACTTTTGTCATTAGTATAAATTTACGCTGTTAGTCTTTCTCTCACAAAAACCACATTGGATACCATTTTACCCAGGTCTATCCTCATGGTTGACCCTAATAATGAGGATTGGAGACTCTTATTAAGATCCAGTAAGTTTCTCTCAGCAGATAAGTTGCTTCTAAGAGATTTGATCTAAGGGGAAAGCTTATCAGCTTTTCTTTGTCCTTGCGCCTGTCTCAGTGAGAGCACTGTCTACAGTCATTTGGAATATATCCTCCAGGCCAATTTAAAAGTGCTTTAAATGTCCTTTCATCCAAGTTTAGAAAGCAGAGGAGAATCAGATTCACTACCATTTGTTCCAGGGCATGAATGTTATTTCTTCTTGTTTTACTGGTGATCTGTCATTTAACATTGTCTAATTACAACAGTTGTTGTTTGGTATCAACTTTTCTTTTGTTGTAGGAAGCCCTCCCTGGGAAAGGGCTCTTTGGGAGGTACTCTCCCACGCCAAGCTTCCTATTAGTGAAACTTTGGCAGAACCACTGATGATAATCAGGGCATTTGGAGGTCCTGAATTTTTTTCAAAATAACCAGTATGTGGGTGGACTGGGGATCGTTCTGAAGGCTCTCAGGCAGTCCTGACTGTACTCATTGATGTAACTAACACATGGTCGTGTTGAGAGCTCGAGTAACCTAAAGAATCAGTGGCTTGCACTGTTGAGATGCTGTACTCCGTTCCTGGCCAGTCTACAGGCTGGGCATAGTGCTGTGTGCTTGTAGTGCCAGCTGGGAGGCTGAGTCAAGAGTGTGACAGTGAGACCCTGTTAAAAACAAAAAGTAAAGGCCGTTCCGAGTATTTTCTAGTGTTAGTTAAACCTTGTTGGGAGTATTTATCTTTCCAGGCTTGTGTTTGCTTTGATCAGTGTTTGAATGGTATGATGTATCTTCAAGTCATCATGTAGTTTTTTCGATTTACATTTAAACTTCACTGAAATTAGATGTGTTAAAGTTAGTGGTGTGCTTAATGTAATATCCTTCCCTTCTCCAAAACGTACAGTAAATAAAGATCTGTTAAGTTAATGATGTCTGTAGAATCAAGGAAATAGGACAGATGTTGTCAGAGGCTACTGATTTCTTAGTTTGTAATGGGGAGGTATCATCTGGCTCCAGAGTAGGGTCTTGTTTTGGTGTGACAATGTGATTTGAACAGCAGTAGCTTTTAACTTTTTGAAAATTACCCACAGTAAAAGTATACATTTTACCTTTTGACCAAATATGCTCAACAGATATGGAAATGTTTTCCAAAACAATAATTACTGTGCATGATGCACTCTTGATATTTTTCCACTCTTTTCTGTTTCAAAAGAAAAAAAAATGTTGCTCTCCACCCACTCAATTAATTTCCCTGGCCACTTAATCCACTCAATTGATTTCTTGTCCCACTAATGGGTCATATCCTATCCTTTTAAAAACTGCTTTACAAAGTTGATTAACCAAGAGGAATAGAGGCTCCCTTATTCATAGGCACCCTGGAACTTCCTTTTGCCTGTATGAGGGGGTAAAAGAAAAGGTTTATGAAATTAATTAATAAGTAAATTAATAAGATAAAATATAACAAGGAAAACAGAATAAGTAAAAAGTGAAAGAGTTTTACCGATGTTAAAAAATTCTGATGACCAAACACATCGTTTGTTTATTTGAATTAATTTGGCTAACAAGTCTGCTTCTGTGAGACCACAGTTAGTGTTTGTTGTTGGGATGGTGAGAACAAAGGCTGTAGAGAGCCTCAAACCGGGGTTCGACCAAAGAAGGAGGCTCAGTCAGGCTGCTGATCATCAAGCTTAGAGTTTTAGGTGAGGACCTAGAAAAATACCTGTTTTTGCTGCTGGCGATTTTACTTAATCAGTCCATTCCTCTGGAGCCCTGGATGCCTGGGAAAAGGCATAACGTATCCAGCAAACTGTTTTCTTGAGCATCAATAAAGCAAGCAGAGTATATTTTTTAGTGGAAGAAACAGGACAGGTGTGACTAAAATTAATATTGACAGCACATTCTCACCTTAGAAAACTTAAGGAAAAACTTATCTTGAATGAACTAGAGCTATGTGATGTTTAAAATTTATAAGCATGTATTTACATACTGGTTTGACTTGTCTCTGTGTCTCTAGAATCTTGTGGAAGAAGAATGAAGTGGCTGATTATGAAGCAACAACATTTTCCATCTTCTATAATAACACTCTCTTCCTGGTATTGGTCATCGTTGCTTCCTTCTTTATACTGAAGAACTTCAACCCCACAGTGTATCCTTTTTAAAAGTTGAACAGTAGTTCATTTTGGTTTCAATTTGTCTGGTATTTTAGTGGAAGGAAAGACTGTTCTGGGGGTTAGCCCATTAAATAGCACCGACTTTAGGCAGGTTCCTGGACAGACAGACAGACAGACATTAAATAATTCATTAATTATGGTTTTGGCCACAAGGTGTGTGTGCCCACCAGAGAGAGAAAAGTGACAAATAACTCCCTGGGAGGATGGCCATACCACAATCCCTTCTCCTCCATTCACCTCCTGGGATCTTGGGCATGTAAGCACACATGCCCATTGTGATTTTCAAGCTACCAAGTTTGGGACTTGAACTGCTGTTGGCTATGTGGGAGTCCAGTGCCTTAACCACTATACCACTTGCTGATTCTAGTTTCTGGACATTTAAAATAACAGCTTTTGGGTTGACTTACAAGTTGTTTTAAGTTATAATGTTAACTTTAAACAATTTAAGTGTATGACAAGTATTAAAAAGCAGTCTTCTCTATGTGAGTACGTATGCCTGCCCTCTTACCAAAAGGTCTGCAAGGAGCCAAAGCAAAGTTGCTTTCCTTGATAGCTCCTGGCATAAGTCCATGTGTCTGCTGTTATTTTTGGTCTTTGAGATAGAGTGATGGCCAGTGTAGTTAAAAGGGCACATTTTGCAATACCTTAATGCCCTTTCAAACTTTTCTACATGGAGCTTTTGAGCAAGAATCAGTCTGCTCTAATTAGGATAATTCATTAAAGGTGTTATCCCAGAATGTGCAGGTAACAATTGGAGATTTTGACCAACTAAGATATGAGACAACCTCCAGTTAGTATCTTCTGGGAATACTGGAGTGTTTTGCCCTGAGGCTGGGAATAGCTGTAAACTTTTGGAAACTCCTTGTATTTACAAGCCAAATGCAGCAAAAACACTGATTAACAAGGGAGACTTCCTTTGCTTTGGGGGAGAAAAAGGAAAACAAGTCTCTCTCCTCCCCATGTTCTTTGATCACTTCTTCTCATGAAGGTTAAATGGAATTCAGATGTGTTCTTTGTGATCATGTGTTCCAGGTTTCTGGTTTTTTTTTTTTTTTTTTTTTTTAAATTTGAATCTATTTTTTTCTGATTTTTTCCA